ATTTCCTGTCGCTTTGGGGAGGAGAGGGGGGTGGTCAGCTAGGCCAGTCAGGTCTGCTAGTGGAGTAGGGGTGTGGAGGGCCATTGGAAAAGGATGGGACGAGTTTTCCAAACATGTTAGATTCAAAGTTTAGGATGGAAGGTTTGTCCGGTTTTGGGAGGATCCCTGGTGCGCGGATAGGCCTCTGGCTCTTTTGTTTCCTAGGTTGTTCAGGATTATTGTTGGCAAACATGCTATGGTTGCTAACTGCTATCGCCTTGATAGCGAGAGGTTATCTTGGGATGTGCGATTCCGGCGATCTTTTCAGGATTGGGAGTTGGATGATGTCACTGGCTTGTTGGGTCTCTTATATAGACAGGAGGTGGAGGGCACTGGTGTTAACCCCCTGTTTTGGGTGCCCTCTTCTCAGGGGATGTTCCAGGTCCGGTCTTTTTTTGTGTGCCTTTCTGGTTTTCATGGCGTTTCCTTCCCGTGGAAGACGGTATGGTTGTCTAAGGCGCCTCTTAGGGTGGCCTTTTTCGTGTGGACTGCAGCTTGGAGCAAGATTTTGACTTTAGATAACTTGAGGAAGCGAAGACATATTATTGTTAATCGGTGTTGTCTTTGTAAGTTGAATGGGGAGTCAGTGGATCACCTGTTGCTGCATTGTCCTGTGGCTCATGATTGTTGGAGTCTCATTTTTGATTTGTTTGGTATTCATTGGGTTATGCTTCGGACATCTCGGGATTTGCTGGATATTTGGAGGGGCCAATGGGTGGGGGTTCAGGCGAGAGTCTTCTGGAGGGTAACCCCCTTTTGTGTTTGGTGGAGCATTTGGAAAGAGCGGAATAGAAAATCTTTTGATGGGAAGGAGTCCTCCATTGGGGTGTTGAAATTCTCTATTATTTGTACTCTTTTTTGTTGGGGTTGGGGGAGAGATTTTTCCTCCATTGAGGATATTGTGGACTTTTTGGGCTCCTTGAGATCATAGTTTCAATTTTTTGTATAGCTTGGGACGCGTTCCCCTTTTGAACGCCTTCTAATACATTTTACTTATAAAAAAAAAAAAATAAAAGAATGGAAGATGGCATACAATTAATTAAATAACAAGCAGTTAAAACAGCATCGCCCCAAAATGCTTTTGGAAGATGCATATGTATCATCAATGTCCGAACTATTTCAATTAAATGCCTATTTTTCCGTTCGGCTACGCCATTTTGTTGGGGAGTATAAAAACAAGAAGTTTGGTGCAAAATACCACAAGAGTCACAAAAACTAGAAATAGCACCTTTGACATATTCCATAGCATTATCAGATTGTAAAGTGCGTATAACACACCCAAATTGGACCTCAATTTCTTTTAAAAATATTTGAAATATGGAAAAAAGTTCAGAACGGTCTTTTATTAAAAACAACCAAGTCATCCTTGAATAATCATCAACAAAAGTAACAAAATAAGAAAAACCTGAGTGACTAGTGTGACGAGCAGGACCCCAAATGTCCGTATGCAATTCAAATAAAGCATATCGACGATTAATAATATGAGGAGGGAAAAAGGCACTCTATGGTGCTTACCCAACTGACAAGACTCACAATTTAAAGTAGACACCGACTCAAGGAAAGGCAAAGCAGACTTCAAATACCGCATCGAGGGATGACCTAACCGATAATGCCACTGGTACACAGACATCTGGGAATGTAAAGCAGTAGTGGAAGGTTTGCAATCCAAGTAGTATAGGCCATTTCTGTTACTGCCCCCACCAATCGTTTGTTTCGTGTTGAGGTCCTGAAAAACACAAGACGAAGGATAAAATGTGACAAAACAATTTAATGCTTGAGTTAGTTTACTTACAGATAATAAATTAAAGGGAAAATTTGGAACTAATTGCACAAAGGATAAGGAAATGGATGGGGTTAATTGAATTGTTCCCTGGCCAATAATAGAACATGTTCTACCATCAACCAGAGTAACAAAAGATGAGGAATTAGATTTCTGAAAATTAGAAAATAGAGAGGCATCACCTTTGAGATGGGTAGAAGCCCCAGAGTTAATAACCCAAGGGGATGCTGAAGTCTGTATTCGAACAAGCATGCAATATTACCTGATTGCGCAAAATTAACCACATCAGTAGAGTTGGGATGTGTCCAGTTGACCAATGCACTAAACTCAGCTCGTGATAGTTATAGTGTCACGGTGTCACTAGTAGATGCAGGTGATGTTAATACAGAAGTCTGACCAAGAGAGGGATGAGACCCCGTAAGGTCAGAGGAAGACACTGCTTGATTTGCCCATGCTGGTTTCCCATGAAGAGTCCAACAGTTCTCAACAGAATGGTTAGTACCCCTACAGTGGCTACAGATGCGAGTGTTACTACGTCCACGACTATAGTGACTGCGACTTCTATCACGGCCACTACCGCCACGAGAACTACCTGAATTTCCACCATACCCTCTGTTGCCACTAGGAGTATCACTTGAATTTCCACCATACCCTCTGTTGCCACTAGGAGTATCACGACCTCTAGAGGACTGTGGAAAAATAGAAGGAATCATCATAGCTGAATTTTCTTTCACTTCAGTGGGCGTCACATGTAATTGTTCTGAAACCCGAAGTAAGCAGGAATAAATGTTACCCAAAGATGGGAGTCCTCCATCACCAGCAAGGATCTGATCCCGAATATTATGAAGGTTCGGGTGCAAACCAACAAGAAAAATGAAAACAGAAAATTCCTCACGTTGTCGCTTGGGAACGTCAGGATCAGTAGTCAAGGGATGGTACTGATTCAACTCATCTAACAGGCTTTTGAAAGTACTGTAATACTCACCACGGCCTTGACTAGAGAAGTCAGATTGACGAGAATGGAATATCTTTTCATACAATGAATATATGCGAGAAACATTCGTGTCCATAGAGTACGTTTCTTTAACTGCATCCCAGATTGCCTTTGCAGTGTTGACAAACATAAAAGTGGATGCAATGGAAGGTTCCATATTGTTCCACAACCAGGACATAACCATATAGTTATCAGTTTCCCAATCCTCATATGTTGCTCATGTTTTTAATGGAGGATCGATTGTAATAAACTTCAGCTTTCGTCGGGCACCTAAAGAAATCTTTACTGCTTGAGCCCATAGTAAGTAATTGGAATTACTTAATTTCATAGATGTAATTTGCAGCCCGACAGGATCAACATGTGTTGCAGAAGATTTAACTCCAGTAGACCCAGAAGCAACATTTGAATCGTCCGACATGGATATATGAATATGAAAAGAAGAAAAAAAAACTTATTTGCGCCAAGTTAAGATGCCAAATATGTACCGAGGAACCAAAGAAGCTGTTGCACCCGAGAAGGCCAGAACAGAGTTGAACCAAGAACAGGAGAAGACTCGGAGCAGAACAGACCTGGTCAGTAAATCGGGTCGAACGGGCCGGACCTTGAATTGGATCAAACGGGCTGGACCTTATATCGGGTCAAACGGGCTGGACCTTAAATTAGGTCAAACGGGCTAGACCTCAAACCGGGTCGAAACAAATCCGGTTTATGTTAACCTGGATTAGGATAGCGAGAACCCTGTAGCCAAACACCGTTTTTCTTTACAAAGTCTCAGCTATCCGGTAAGCACGCAGCGGCAGCAACAGCAGCGGCGGCGATGGAATCAACAAGCAGCGACGCACCTTGTGACAGCCGTCGGTGACCAAGCAACAAGCAGTGATGATGATGACAACCGCCGGTGACCAAGCAGCGAGCAACGACGACGAGAGAAGGCGGTGAATTCGTTAACAACCAAAACGGCAACAACTTCACCATCGTCACGAGCTCTGAACAGATCTATACAAGAACGATACAACTGCAATTTCCCACACTCACAATTTCGATCCGCTCTGATACCATGTAGAAATGGAGATTTGTATATAAAGATAATAGAGATACAGAGAGAGAGAGAGAGCGAGAGAGCAAGTTTGGGGCTCAGCCCATATTTTCCATATATCTCTAACCCTAAAACATAAAGGGGGGTTTTATACAATACAAGAAAGGCCTATTTACATAATGGCCACAAATCCTATATCTAATTACAATAGGTCCCAGCATAAATACATATATACACATAAGTGTTTTAACAAAGGGTATAAAAACCAAGCTTAGATTAATTATACTCCTTAATAATTTCTAACTGCCACAAATACGTGATATTGATGGTGAAAGAAACCTAAAATAATTAATCATAAGAATTCAAATCATGCACATGGGAATCAATAAAAGAACAACAGAACATTATTTCACTCTCTTACATTCAACAATAGTTAGAGAAAACTTTCTTCTTCTTAATGAGTTATCAAAACGCAAAATCTTGCTTATCACCACAGTCCACTGGAAGAAGGCTGTGTTAGAGAGTGCTTGGCCAATAGCCTTCCAAGGAAATCTAAATTGGCACTGCTTCACATCTACTTTTTAATTTTAGACAGATTCAGTGGTTCTAAGGACAAGATGAATATTTTAATCTACTTTTTGTTGCTTCCAAAATCAATTCCAATCAAAGGGTTCTATGATTCCATGCATCCATGGATATAAGTACGAAGTTCTGAAATCTTCATTTCTGCTATACAAGACTTGTCTAGTTTTATGATATGGGATGAATGATGTGGAACAGTAATTAAGAAGGACAAATTGGGAATTTTATATAGGATGCTTCAAGGAGATTATATAATTAAGTTTTGTATCAAATCGAGTTTTGTTTATGTTTTTTTAAATAATCATGCTGTTGGTATAATTCTTCTTCTTCTTTTTCTTTTTCTTTTTGAGGAGTCGATGTAAAATTTATAATTTCTAAAAAACTCTTTGGTAGTCAAAATTTTAAGGTTTTAACTAATATGTGTGTGCGTGCATGTATGTAACTTTCTGTTTTTTACTTTTTAGTAGGAGTTATCTAATGACCATTTAAAATGTGAAAGTTTTCAGAATTTGAGAAAATCTTTATATAATGCATTCTTTTACAAGGGTGTGATTCTTAATGAATTCTAGGTAGGATTCCTACAGAAGAGCAAGAGGGTGAAAACAATGTTGTGAAGTTTTTGGATTCAATGGATAGCTATCTAACCCTTTTGGATTCCTTATCTTCCACACTTCGACAGGTACAACAGTATATAAAAGCCTACCTTTTATCTTTCTTCCAATTTTTTCTTATATCTCTCTCTGTTCCAATCTGTGATTGTGCGGACTTGAATTTTATGGAATCATTTGCTTGTTGAGCGGTTGAGTCTTTAAATTATCTTGATTTTAGGTCAACCTTTCTAATCTCATGAACTGTTAACACTTGTTTGCATGATGAATACATTTACATTTCTTGCTGTTATATTACTATTCTAATTAGCTTTTAGTATTAAGCTTGGACTTAAGTCATTTTCTTTTCAGTTGTGTCAAGCTTGAGTTTACACCCAGTTGTTATCTTCTTATTAGAAAGCTCTTGTTTTTATTCATTGATAAATTGGTTTCTATGATTGCATTTTTGTGGATAATTCTACATTTGGCTTGTTCATGGTTGGTTCTTTATTATGTAGTTGTTGTTCAGTGGTTCAAAATTTAATAAAAATTATTACAAGATTGAGGGAGCATTTTGTTTCACTGGAATTGGAATTTGAGGGATTCTTATTTTTTAATTTATTTTTGTTGTTGTTGGGGTTGGCACTTCAAGTGGTCAATATGTGGTTAGTTTGCCATTCCTTGATTTTTCTTTTATTTTCCTTTTCACGACTTTGTTTAGAAATGTAATAACTCTATTAGTTGCTTCCCATCTTTAGATGTAGAATGTAACTTGATGCAGGACTAACACGATGGAGGGAATGGAAAAATGAGAGAAAAACGGGAAGTGGGATTTCTGAAAAGACATCAAAGGCTGAATAACTCTGTTACATCATAACCATTATATATGCGATCTCCAAGAAACCCTAAAATAAGAAAACACAAAAAAAATTCACTGAAATAATCAAAATAAAAATATTTAACCCTAAATCTACCAGATCCCTAATTATATTGTAAATTGGGATGCCAAGGAACAAATGAAAGACTTAAACTATTCGGTTCATGGGAAATATTTAATTGTTCTAAAGTTTTATTCATAATAGTTGTATCTTATTTTTAAACTGCCCTAATAGGTCATAAACTTTCACATACCAGTTCCCTCTTGTGGTCTAAAATTGAAGCTTGGAAGCTTCTTTTGTGGAAAATGGAATGGTGGAACTGGATTCTCTGTGCAACAACATATCTAGTTTGTCTGTGAAAAGGGTTGACGGTTGTTAAGTAGATCTTGATTACATGACAGAATATTTTAATTTAGACTTTGAAGTGCACTAAGGTTGTGTTTGGAAGTGTTGAATGGTGCCTTGGAGTTGAAATTGGAGAGAAGTTGGTTTAAAATCTGAACTAATTTTCTTTCAATTCCATTTCCAAGATACCAATCCCATGCTACCAATCAAAGATTAATTATATTTTTGACTCTCTTGACATGGTTGTTATGCTTCTATTTGAAATTTAAACAGAAAATTAGGAAATCACTCTACTACATCCCATCGTCCTCTCTTATTTATTGGTTGTTCACTTTATTCGTGGGACATCTGGAAATGAGTAATGTTAAACCCGTAGTTCTAAACTACTACATTGCAGGGATGGCTGGAATTGGCCAGTGCTCGACATTCTATGGGTGCTTCACGTATCAACAGTGCCTTATTTGACCTCAAGCATCACTCTGCTGCCACAGCGTTGCAAGTAACACAATGTAATGGTATATTACTGGTTATCCTTATTGACAAAATTAGTTTAATGATGTACGGCTTTTGAATATTGTACAATTACTTGAGGTGCTGTACGTCTATCAGGGGCACTGGACATGGATTCTACACAGTTCCTTACCCCATATGCACTTTAGTGGTTGAATTTTCTAAACGGTTCATTACATGTGTGGCCCCTGTTAATCAAGGGTGCTGGGAGGGGTAAACCAGAGACAAAATTAATATTTGGCTTTATTTGCACAAAGTAACTGCTGTCAAAAGATTTGAACCTGCATTCCTTCTCCTGATTTTCAAAAGGAAAATGACTTTTGCACCGAGTAGTTGCAATGAATTGCTAGACCTACTTCTTTTAATTGGTCATTTATGCAACAAATAAGGGAGTGGGGTCCTCCACTTACTTGTATTTAGCATAAACAACTAATCAAAAACCATTTGGTTAGGCAATTCACTGCAAGTCTTCGGTGTGAGTATCACTACTCTTTTCAAAATTATCTTTTAATCCTAAATTAGGAGAAGAAAACAGTTCAAAAGAAAAGTTCATATGATATATGTTCATGATTTTGCAAGTTTTTGTTTTACCCCTTTCCTCTCTCTCTCTCTCTCTCTCTCTCTCTCTCAAACGCGCGCACACACAAATGCACGTGTATCTATGCATATCTTAGTACAGATATTATTCAGTTTCCTCTTTTGTTGTAGTTGATTCCACGATGAAGCAAACTCATTTTACCTTGTGCAAATGGATGTCCCCTGACAATAAAAATTACTGCTCTGAAGAAGCGAAGTTTGATGAGGATGAGATGTTACAAAGTCAGTCAACTAGTCAGCTTAGACATCGGGGAATATCCCAGTATTCTGGTATATGTCTTTCCTTCATTTATTTTAATGGATTTATATGCTGGTTTGGAATTAGTGTACTGGTCCTGTAGACTATTAAAAGTAAAGTGATGTGAGGTCTACTTCCAGCTGTAATGATGCAGATGTATAAACAAAATTATGGAACCATATTTTAAGGTTTCTTCCAAGGCTACTTGAGAGGGATGTTTTCTTCTTCATTCCAATAATTGTGGAAATTGCATCAAGTTAGTTTCACACAGGAATTTTCCAGAGTGCTCATGGTTTTGTAGAATATCTTTAATGTTTTACTGCTTAGCCTTTTGTTTACCTCCCCTGGTTAATTTATAAATTTATAGCATCTTACTCTCTTACTTTCTCATCTCTTGGTGCAAAGAAATTCAGGAGAAGAGAGAGAAAAGTAACGGACCTCTGCTTACAGTTGACGACCATGTAAGTATCCTGCAAATAACATCATAAAAGTTCCATATTTTTAACTCGTATCGACAAGCCTTTATTATCTATAGTAAGAAGTTTCTGTTTAGCAATTATTGCCTTGTTGGAAACCAGTGTATCGGCCATTGTACCAGCATTTCTATTGCATTTGACTTCTCTAAGTTCAACAGGTTAAACACCTTGACACCCTATTAATGCTTGCAACATAGGTTTATTTGAAATAAATTTTGACCCAAATGAGGAAATGTCAAATGGATTCCAGCGTAAAAATTAAAAAGAAAATCTTTGTCAACTCTTCTGTTGAACTAGCTGTGGTATTTGAACAAAGAAATGCGTACACTGAATGATTTTGTTTGTCTTGTTCCTTCTTTTGTAGGCTCAAAAGGAACGATCCAAATTACTGTCGGTGTTTGGAGCTTTAGTTTCTCCAAAGCTTCGATCTGCCCAACTTTCTTTTGAGACAGGTAAATTGCTAAAGATGCTTCATGAAATGAGAGACTGTTTTGCTACAGGTTGACTTTAGATAAATGCTCCATGGAAGTAGACAATCAAATCTCTCTCTCTCTCTCTCTTGCACAGAACTTTATTTGCTTATTCTCATCTGTATTTTACTTGCTTATAGATATGGGATTTAGTATGAAATTGTAACAGCCAATATTGAATTGCTCCCCTGCTTCTCTTTCCTCCTTTTCCACTATCCCTCCCCCAATCTCCATCCCCGACAGACACTTGTAACACCACATATATGGATTTTGGTATATGAGTCTTGGTTTCATTTTTGTGCAGCTCTGGAGACACTTGTAGAAATAGCAAACATACGATCATCCATGCTTTCTGCTTATGATCAAGTGCAGAAAGAGATGGAAAGCACCATGGGATGATGAAAGGTTGATTGGTCCTGCATCAGAACGGCTTATATGCCTATCAAGATCCAACAAATCATTTGCATTTTCATGTCCCCGGCTTTATAAATATCATGCATTTCTGATACTGAAAGGATTTAACTGATCACCATAGCTCAATCTCAGGACTGCAAATACTAGTACTATATTGCTCTTTGGGATCGATCCTTGTGGCATTTTTCCTCCACTTTATGCTTTACAAGTTTTGCGTGCTTGCTCTGCTGCCAACCAACCATTACATGGAGTGGAGAACGTTAGCTTAGGTTGGCCTAAGCATCACTGGATTTCATTTCTATAAATAAAGGATGTATTTATATATTTCTAGCCTTGTCAAAGTATTAGTGTAACCAACATAAAATTCATGAGGCCCTTCAAGGTGATCTTTTCTAAAAAATATTATGTTTGCCATTATTTGATTATTATATTTATTTCGTTATAAATGAAAATGATAATTATTGCTAGCACTTTAAGCATTGCATTTGGTTACATGGTAAACCTAATTGGGTACTTTCCAATTGTAACTAACTTTAGGATGTAAAATATTGCTCATCTCACCATCCTTTTGCTACAAGAGAAGTTCTTTCCATGCGGTTGGAGTAGACCTAACCTTGTGCTGCTCCTGCTCCTGCTCCCTGAGTTTGGAAACCTCCAACTCATCAATCCATCTCAACCTCTAAGAATAAGAGATGAAGCTTTGATCAAAAGAGATTATCAGATGAAGATTTTGATACTTGCATACACATGTCTCCACTGATATTCGACACATGACTTTCCTTTGGGAAGTAAGGGCCTAGTACGGCTAGGCTACTGACCTAGTGGTAGCTTTAAGAGAATATTATAGGATCGCTATTGTGTGTTCTTGTGTACTTTGAGTGCAAATGCACAAATTCATGGTTTATCTTTTGTTATTTGTACCGTTATTATCATATTACATTTTACATTTTTAAAAACCTCTTTTTAAGAACTCTTAATTCTCTTTTCAAAAACTCTCTTCAAACGAGCTCCTAAAATGAAACATGGAAATTAAGTTATCTTGCGTACTACAACCTTAAAATCCACTGACTATCTTTCCAAAGTCATTTAGAGTTGTACGATCTTTATGTATTTTGTCAGAAGACTAAATCACTCCTAAACTAGGATTACCATAATTAAACCTAAGGTGATCCCATCCCAAACAAGTCCTGTAGACCTACATCTTTTGATTAAAAAAATTCCATTCAAAACTCGTATGTCCACCTACTTCATTTCAAAAAACATTCTAAGACCACGTATTTTTGCCCTTCAAATAACTTTCATGTTCCAAAATCCACCCCCTTCAATAATATTCATTCTTAGAACTCATATGTTCAAAAATCTTTAGGTCTTTTAATTTGTTGTAATCGAATTGCGGTGGACGGATCATTTCATCTATTGACCCTGGTCAAGCCGTTTAGGCAACATGGAATTAAGTTGTGAGGAAAGGTTTTTTTTTTTTTTTTTTTTTTTTTTTTCTCTCTCTCTCTCTCTCTTAATTGGTGTTGTATAAAAGGAAGAATTAATTACAGGTGCACAGGGGGTATACCCTCGTAAATGAGACAAATAGCCATTAGCCATTTACAAAGATCAGACAAGGTGTAAACCCATTTCCAGTACAGAAGGAAAACCTAATGTAACATCCAAATCCAGGGCCTATTTAAGCAAATCTCGGATTGAAACATTTGTAACATCAATGACCTCAAAAAAAACTTTGTCTAGCAACCTCCTGTGATGATCTTGAAGTTGAATCGTGAAGCCTACCATTTCTCTCATGCCATATACCCCCACAAAGCAGCCACCAACATATATTGGGAAGGCTTACTAGAATGTTGATTGAACCATTCCACCAGATCTCTGAAGCACACAAGAGCAGTAACTTGAGTAACATCCCACCCTAAGGTATCCCCCAGCCAGCACCATACTTCCCTCGCAAATGGGCAAGTAACAAATACATGGTCACGAGTATCACTTTCAGTTTTACAATTAGTACAAATCGGAGCTAACTGAATGTTTCTCTTCTGCAAATTTACCATGGTGGGAAGTCGATTTTGAAATACTATTACCCCATGCACAGACCATCGAGGTCCAGCCTTACCCCAACATAGCTTAAACCAGTCCACATCTTCAACAGATTCTCGGCAGCTAGACGATGCCTTCTTGAAAGAAAATGTGCCCCCATCCCATAACAACTTATCATCTCTGTTAGGTAGCAGGATATTAGAGATACATAGCTTGAAAGAATTGAAAAGTTCATCCTGCAGCAGCTCCGCATTCCACCTCTCATTAAGAATAAGATTGTTGAGTGTTGAATCCCAAGGCAGCCCTAACCTTCTAACCATTCGATGCCCAAATTTCTGAGTCAAAGTTTTCCCCTCACACCAAGGATCCAAGAGAGCTTTGAAGAGCTCCCCATTGCCCATACATAAATCAACATGTTGCTGCATGATTTCTCGAACGTTAACCATATCTTTCCAAACAACAGAGTGAGAAGACTTAGGAACTGCATTCCAAAAAGAAGCATGAGACAAGTATCTGTTCTTGAACCATGGAACCCATAATCTGTCTTTGCTGATCAAGAAGTCCCAAACAAAAGCACATTTAGAAGTAACCTGCAGGTCCTTCAATTTCCCTATACCCAAACCACCTTCAGCTTTAGTTCTAGTAATTAAATCCCAACTCAAGAGATGCATCTTCTTCGCATTTGTTGCACCACCCCAGAGGAAATTTCTACAAAGCTTTTGAATTTGGTTCAAGACAGCAACAGGAATATTAAAGACTTCGCACCAATACAAACATATGGGAGTATCCACGGTTCTAAGCAACTCAGCTTTCCCTGCAGTTGACAGTAATTTAGTACTCCAATTAGACAATCTCTTAGTAACCTTGTCTATAAGTGCAGAGCAATGAGATCGCTTCAGCCCTTTGGAGCAAAGAGGGATCCCCAAATATCTCAAAGGTAATTCTTCTTCCTTGCACTGTATAATTCCCATAATTGCACTTTTTCTTCTAACTGCTTTGGAGAAGATGATGCTACTTTTTTGCGGGCTGATCTTCAATCCAGACTCTTCTCCAAATTTTTTCAGAATTGAAAGCAACATCTTAGCATTAGAGGTAGAGTCCTTGCAGGTCACCAAAAGATCATCAGCGAAGAAGGTATGACAAATAGAAGATTGAGCTTTTAAAGAGGTATGAGATAACTTCAGACTGCCATCAGAGACTGTAGTGTTTAGACTTTGAGAGAGTTGATCTGTTACTAAAGTGAATAGAAGAGGGGAGAGAGGACATCCTTGTCTTAAACCCCTACTTGGTTGTATATGAGATACCCCTCAGATCCGAGACACGGGTTGATCAGGCTCAGGCCCAAACCCGAGGGAATATCAAACAATTAATATTTTATAATGAACACGGAATACAAAATAAATTAAGAAATGAAAATAAACCTGGAAGGAACTAAAAATAGAATCTGCAAAATATTATAATTATTAAAATCCATCAAACCCAAACTCCAAAACTTCATCAATTTACAACTTGGGAATCCATCTCTAGTGGACCCCTATTAAACATCCAAACGGAAGATAGAACAACTGTAATAAACGTCCAGAAATAAAACTATAGAGAGAGCCCTACATCGTCGGAAGAGTGAATAAAGACCTCTGCTCAGCACGAACACGTCTAAGCCTGGAACTGTCGTGTACCTGAAAAATAGAAGTGGGTCAGGCCCACGCGCAAGTTCTATACTACTACAATCCAAACAGAGGCCCGATACGCATGTACATCCTAAACAATTCAACAATAGCTAATAGTCCGTAAATATATATATAGTCACACTAAAGGACTCTCACTGGACTACAGGCCGGTCTCAACCTGAATAGAGGTAACATGCTAAAACGCACACGAAGTGGGCATATGTACCTATACCTAAACAGGGTACACCTCCAACCATCGTAGCCAGCTACACATCCCGATGCATATACGCTCCCTAGCCATCGGTCCTGAGGCTCAAGCTCATACCGAGGCACCATAACAGTACATATATAAAATCCATCCAAAATCCCTGGTATTGCCGCTCAACAAGTAGTTGCCATGACAATACAAATCCACAGGACTTAACTTTTAGTTAATCCCATCCTTATTCCAAGTAGGTGGGTAATGGTATTGTTTTAAAAACCAAACCCATCCTTAGTATGCCACCGTCCCATACCGGTGCCTACTTTCCAATCCTCCAGTAGTCAATAATACCAATAAATTAAGTATATATCGACTAAATTCTAACATCCAACATTCAATGTTAGCATGATAAAATAAGCATTGATAAACAGGGTCACAACAATAACATATACATGCCCAATTTAAGTTGTTCCCTTTAGTCTGATATAAAGACAGAATTAATTAAAACTTCCATTTAACACCTTACAAATGACATACAGATATGTAGGGTGTGTATCACAAAATCCTAACCTCCACAGTTGATACTAACTGTGATAATGTAAGCATCAAAATAATATTTACAGTATGTATGTAGACATGCTCAAATTATAGTGTTCCACAAAACCGATCTAGTGTTAAACTCAAATCCTCCTAGTATTTAAGTTCCAACAGTTGCTATTACAGAAGTTAAGATAGCTATCATCTAGACCCATCCTTCCAATAATTTATACTAGCAGTGGTAAGGAAAAACGTGAACCACAGAACCATAATGCATCCACAAACATGCTTAGTCTAAGTTGAACAAACATACAACACTACTGTAATTACCAATTTCATAGCAAAACAGATATCATTTTAGTTTGGTTTAATTTTCATTAATCCTGAAATCATTTAAGAGTGCAAAGAGTATGAAGCCTAAGGGAAAGAGTAAGGATAGAATCTTGTCTCAGAAACTTTTGTTCAAAGTTTCAACGTCGTCTTCTTAAAAAAATCCCGGCGAGTTCCAAAACCCGGTTACTGTTCACGGGTACGAAACACTATTCCTGAACTCAAAATCTGATCTGCACCGTTCAGATTGTGCGACACTGAGTCATGAACCTATCCTCCAAATTTCAGCTCGATCGGACCACGGACGAAGTGGGATCGGATGTTTGATGAAATCTGGGCAGAATGGAAAAAACCTGTGCGACCCAGTTACTATTCAAGAGTACGAATCACTGTTCCCTAGGTCAAACTCTGATCTCCACCGTTCATATTGTGCGTCACTGAGTCGTGAACCTCTCCTCCAAAATTCAGCTCGATCGGACCACGGACGAAGTGGGATCGGATGTTTGATGAAATCTGGGCAGAATGGAAAAAACCTGTGCGACCCAGTTACTGTTCACGAGTACGAATCACTGTTACCGAGGTCAAACTCTGATCTCCACCGTTCAGATTGTGCGTCACTGAGTCGTGAATCTCTTTTCCAAAATTCAGCTCG